TACCTGAAGTTTTTTTATTAAAAAAAACTTTTCTATTAATAACATTACTAATATAAATACATTATACTTTATGCATGGATGCTACATAAAAAGGTACATATATTTATCTATTTTAACAAGTTATTATAGTTACCTATTATTACTAACAGCCTACTATATAATATATATTATATCACTCAAAATCTCAATTATGTTATTATTCATATTGTTCTTTAGCTGATATTTTTTCAATTTATAGTTTATTTAAAAAAAAACAATAAATTACTATTCTAATCAATTATAACTTTTAACAAAAATTATTACCGTTCTTTCAACAAATTTTGTTTCAATTAGCTTTGCTTTAGCTTCGGTTTCACAAAATTTTTGCCAGGTTATTAATAACATTGTTTTAGTTATTCAATGTTTTAACTTTACAGAAGAGAGTAATGTAATATTATCTAATAATTATATGCTATGCTTTAAACATTATAAACTGTTCTAATATATTAAATATACCCAATATATTGGTTCAATGGGAATATTGTATTAAATATTGGCTTATTATCTATCTATCCTATTACTTAATTCCTGTGTGTTCCATTAAACAATATTCGATAGATTAAATTATTGCATGTTAATAATTATTATTAATAAACTTTAATTATTTATTGTATTTTTAATATATTTAGTAATTTATTGAATTTATTTGTTTATTTGTTTATTTATCAATTTATTTTATTGGTTTAACTGCTAAATTTTAGTAACTGCTATGTTTATTTACTTGTTTTATTAATTCAGTGCATTTTCATAACTTGTCACAAAAGTATAAATTGCATGTTAATAACTCTATTACTAAATGTTAACTACTTATTGTGCCTTTAATAAACTTTACTATGTTTATTTACTATATGAAACCTGGTTTAATTCCTCCCTGTTTCTTTATATAATTCCTATTACAAAATATAAAAAAATTTCCTCGAAATATTATCGTTCATTCGTTCTTTACGATAATATACAAAGCTGTCCGTGCGTTACCTTCGATTCGGGCAGGTACAAGTGTCTTACGCAGTAAACATACACACACATACATTGACTATACATATACTGTACACATACACATCTATACTAATAGTACATATCTCCACTAAAGATATATCTAAGGTTTTTCTTGCATTGATTATGACAAGAAGGTTTTATACGGTTTCATACATGAGAACGGTTTAATACATGCACACAAACAAATATACATACATACAAGCTATGACGTTATGGCACTATGCAGACACACATACAGACATGCAGACACACATACAGACATGCAGACACACATACAAACGCACAGACATATATTATAAAATTATAAATTCATACCATTTTCCAAAATTTAGGTGGTCAGGTGTTACAATGGCTCCCCGCCAACATGACCAAACTTACGCCGAAACCTCTAACTGTGAGGAAGTTATGAGAAAAATTGCAAACTTGAAACGAATACTGCAGAGAATTGAACACAAAATTGACCGTGTCTTAGCAGAAGTTTCGAAGGACCAAACAAACCGCGACAAAGTTTCCAACCACATTAACCATCTCCAAAAGCCAGAATAAAATTGTTCTCATTTAGACTCTTGTTTGTTTGTTTGTTTGTTTAAATGTTCGTTTCATTTACACAGACACGCAGGAACTGCTGCAACAATAATTAAATCAATAAAATATATATCATTGAATCTGGACTTTTTTTGTTTGTTTGTATTTATGTATGTATGTATGTTTGGTTGTATGTATGTATGCATGTATTTTTTCTCATTTATACTATGATGTTTGTATGTATTTAAGTATGTTTGTATGTATGTATATATATATACGTGTGTGTATGTAAGTGGATCAATCGCAACTGACAGCATTCATTCGAATATTCTCAGCCACATGAACGTATGTATATATGTATGTATGAATGTATGTATATAAGGTTGATTTTTTGATTTTAAATTTTGATTTTATAAATTTCTGTTATTTTTACATTCCATGAAATACTTGAGTTAATATAACTTTGCACAAACTTGACAAAAACCATCAAAAACATTTAGTCAGTCTTGTTCTGTTTATTTTCAAAAATTCAATATCATTAATAAACGATTTTGTTTAAGTTATTCAAATCTTTGCATGCTCTTTACAAATCAATTTGATACTAGAATAGATTGGAGTAGTAGCTCTAGTAATAATAATAATATACAAGATTAGTGGTAAAAGTATTAAGACAGGCATAAGCATTGTTAAAAGGTTAAAGGTCAATTACACTCTTTTTAGGTTCAAATAAATCGACAACACGTAAATGAATACGTGCTAAACGACGCATCACACACGAAATGTGGTAAATGGGGATCTTTTTGCCATAAAATCGAATTGAACCCAGTGACATCTCCTCCGTCATGGGCTCATTTATTAGACCTGGTCGGTTTCCATATTTGCTCTATAAAAATGGAGATGGCTAATCAAAATGCAATTTTTTACAAACTCACTACGTTAAAATCAAATATTAAAAAGATGAATTAGTTAGCCTGCATGTACTGCAGCTATCAAAAGCCTTGGGCCATCCGAGAGATGTCGCTTGAATTCTGTTTGAATGCCTGGCGTTCAGCTGACTCATGATCTACATAGTTCTCATCAAAGGAATGAATTCACTTGGTAAAGTTTTTTTTTAATATGAACAAAATATTGTTTTGTGAATGATTAAATTTGTTTTTATACCATCTCTAGGTATTTATCTATTAGGCACAGGGGCGGATCCAGGTGATCTTATATTTTTATCCATCATGGCAACCCACAACTGCCTGCAAGGCGGGCAAGCCCACAAATAAAAAAACGTTTAAATTATTTTTCAATTTGCCCTTTAAATAACAATCTATGTGACTAAGACATTACGGCATATATGTCGCGATCGTATCAGCATCGGTAAAGACGGTGCAAGTAGCTCGCACTCCCGTATCATATCAGTAAACTTAAATCTACTCTGTTCTATTAAAAAGGTGATGTAGTAATCATATTATTTACTACGGATCCCATTATTGTAGTGTTAAGTAATCCTTTAAAATATGCACTTTTTAATTTTATATCACTATTCACTTTTAAACAGTCTAACTTTCGTTTTCAAGCGCCATGATTGTGTATTGTGTTGTGTTACTTAAAAACGACAAAAATAGTAAATACAAGTTACTTTTAAATTAAAACATTCATTAATTATTGTTTATAATACTATAAAATATTAGGAACAATTACAACAAACCATTATCATCGGAAGAAAATGAAGAGAACAAATTTTTTACAACCACAGAGTACTTTGGATTCATTTTTTGTGACGTTGAAGAGAAAAAAGTCTGTTGAAGCATCTACAACTAATTCTACTGTCACTACTGAAGTTGGTGGAACAACTAAACTTCCACTTCCAACCACATCAGCAGAAGCTTCAACAAGTAATAGTATTTCTACTGAACATGTTGAACATGAGATAACAGAAACAAGTAATAATATGGACAGCAACAGCCGGAATATGAATGTCAATTCAGTAATAAACAAGTAATAATATGGACAGCAACAGCCGGAATATGAATGTCAATTCAGTAGTCATAGCTCATGATAGTCTTTTTTCTGAAAATGAACAGATTTCAACTGAGACTGGAACAGCTGAAATTGCTAAGGCATTTTCTAGTAAGATTTTAAATGCTGGGTTTATCAATGATATTGGAAAATTTGTTGGAACATTTATGGATGATTTGACAAGAAAAAGTCTGTTAGAATCGCCATGGAAGCCACTAGCTGACTACAAAATGCCACATTCACTTCACAAGAAGAAAAATAAACAAGAAAAGCGATATCTTAATCATTCTCATCTGGAAAAATATGAATGGCTAGTTTATTCAGATAATAAAAAAGGATTGTACTGCAAATATTGCTCATTATTTTCATACCACCTGACTGCAGGATCTCACAAACAAATGGAACTTCAGAAGCTTGTTAAACAACCATTACAAGTGTTTGCTAAACTGTTTGGCAAAGATGGAGATTTAACAATGCATGACAAAGCAACATACCACAAGGATGCTGTTGAAGCACGGAGGTGTTTTTAAAAAAACTATAATGAACCAGCAATAAATATTGTAAACAGAGTAAATGCTTAACGGCTTCAGCAGGTTTTAGAAAATCGTCAGAGATTGATACCTATTGTGGAAACAATTATATTTTTAGGAAGGCAGAATATTCCATTCAGAGGACACAGAGATGATGGCAGTATATTAGACAAAGATGATAAAGATTCTGATGTGATTAAAAATGAAGGTAATTTCCGAGAATTGCTAAAATTTAGAGTAAGCAGTGGAGATTCAAATTTAGAAAATCATTTAAAAACGGCTAGAGCATCAGCAACCTATATTAGCAAAACCACACAAAATGCGTTAATTAAATGCTGTGGGGAGGAAATATGTGAACAAATTTTGAGTCGCGTTAGAGAATCAAAGTATTATGCTATTATGATTGACGAAACAACCAATGCATCACATAAGTCGCAAATGACTATAATATTACGTTACTTGCTGCCTGATGGATCAGTTCGAGAAGATTTTGCAGGATTTGTTGATCTACATGACAACAATTACCAATCTGATATTACTGCATCAATTGACACTGAACCTATTCTTGACGGCAAAATTATTGGTCAATCGGTTATAAACATGTTTTCAAACAAGTTCCACCTTTCTCTAGAAAACTGTGTTGGTGTGGGAACAGATGGTTGCAGTGTTATGTCTTCGTTACAAAAAGGAGCAGTAGTTGAAATTCAAAAAGTTGCAGTGAATGCAGTCTGGTGTCCTTGTTATAACCATGCTTTAAATTTAACTTTATCAAAAAGTTCGAATGTACAAGCAATAAGAAATTGTTTGGGTGTTATTAGTGAAGTAGTTGCTTTTTTCAATGCTTCTGCAAAACGAAATTTTATAATAAAGAACATGATAAATTCACAACTGGTTTCACTCTGCGAAACACGATGGGTTGAGAGACATGATGCATTGCTGATGTTTAGTATTGAACTTCCACAAATAATTGATGCGCTAAAGAATATATCTAAATGGAATGACAGAACAACTTCATCAAAAGCAACAACTTTATTAACAGCAATTAGAGAAAGTGATTTTATTGTGTCCTTAGGCTGTGCTGTGTATGTATTCTCTCTAACAAAGGGCCTCAGTGAATTGTTTCAAAAAAAAAGTTTAACTTTACATGATGCAGAAAATTGCATTAAAGACCTGTTAAATGTTTTACAAAAAAAGAGAGAAAACTGCGAAGAAATGTTTTTGGAAATTTTTAGAGCAGCAGAAAAAATAATAATTGAAAAAGATGGCACTTTTACCTACAAAAGATTTGTGCATCGACAGACATGCCGTGAAAATGTACCTTCTGATTCATTGGAAGAATATTACAGGCGATCAGTTTACATGATCGCCTGTAATATTGATACTGATATTGGATATAAATACTCGTTTTTCTAAAGAAAATTTGCAGTGTCTCCAAATCTATTCTTTGATGCCAGAAAATAGTATTAAACTAAATCATAAAGATGTTGTCGAATCTGTTTCAGCAATCAGTAATTTCTATGGTACCATTCTTGGACTTAGTACCCAACTTGAATTTATATCGGAAGTTGAATTGTGGCAGAGCAAATGCTTTAGAATGAACAAGGACGGAGGAGGAGTCAAATCACTGACTACTGATCTTTCTGTTGTTTTTCATTTGTGTGACCCCGTACAATATCCAATCACTCAGAAGTTGTTCCGTATTATTAAAGCATGTCCAGTTAGTGTTGCCAGTGCTGAACGTAGCTTCTCAACTCTGCGAAGAATTAAAACATGGCTAAGAACAGGAATGACAGAAGACAGATTAGTCGGATTGGCACTACTTAATGTACACAGAGACGTTAGTAAATGTTGAAAATATAATTGAGCGTTTTGCGAAGTCAGGAAATCGTAAAATAGAATTCGTTTTATAAATTGTTATTAGTCAACCTATCAAGGTAGTAGGTACCTCGCTAGTCTAATAAAATAAATAAACCCATTTTTTAAAACACTTATAGGATTAAAAAAAAGAAAATAATTTTTTTATATTTATATATGTACTCATATGTATATATTGACTATGTTTGATCCAAATCATTACATTTATCATTTTATGACATTAAAAGTTGAAAGTTTTTGATGACATTGCATGCTTTCTTATAAACAGTAATAAAGAATTGACAAAAATAGACTAGAAATTTTTTTTTTCAGTAGGGGGGGGCGATCGCCCCCCCCTATGGATCCGCCACTGATTAGGCATTATCTCATTACATACAAAGCGTCATTGTATTTCGCTAGAATTTCAAAAAAAAAATTGCAAATAAATTACCAAAGGTAAAAAAAATAAATTTTTATATTATACTTCAAACTAATTTCTTTGAATTTTGATCAAGTAATTACCTTAAATTGAACAATTTCTAGAAAATTCTATTAAAGAAAATTGAAAAGACAAACTCAAATTGATTAATGCCAATAATTTGGTATATTTCATATAATACTGTATAAAATATGGTCTTCCAACAATATACATATATATATATTATATATATATATATATATATATATATATATATATATCAGTGACGACGAGTACTTAAGTACATTTGTACTTAAGTACGTACTTAAGTACAAATATAGTACTTAGACACTTATACTTAAGTACATATGAAAACCTGCACTTAAATACTTATACTTAAGTGCATTTTTCAGTATTTGTACTTATAAGTAATAAATTTTTCCTGTAAGTACCAGAAAAATTTTAAGCAAAAATAAGATAATGTCAACATTTAAAAATTGAAAACTGTGATGAAAACACACACACATTTTCACATTGACATTCTTGTTTATCTCTCTTACCAACATTTGTTCTTGTTTAGTCATGGATAGCGGGATGTTAAGATAACCATTGGCTAATTGAGTCATTAAAAGGTGGTTAACTCACATCACTCTGACATCTATATATCTATATCATAGACTCTACATGATCTATATACACATGCACGTTATATATAGTAGTTATTATATATATATATATGTATATATATATATATATATATATATATATATATATAACAATCCTTATAAATATATGTGTTAAAGTGTTTTTGTTCACATTTTAAATATACGTGTTGAAGTGTTTTTGTTTACATTATAGATATAGGTGTTGAAGTGTTTTTGTTTACATTATAAATATATGTGTTGAAGTGATTTTGATGAAAATGGCTGATAAAAATTTCTGAATTTGACTGTTATAGCATTATATATAATCTTCGCGATAAAGTAAATGTTGTGATGGAACGTTTGCAGCTGCCGAAGTTCAGCAATATAGATTTGAGTTTTCTTAATGAGTGGTTGGAACTGATGAGACCAATTTCACTAGCATTGGACAAGCTCCAAGGTGAGGTTTCAATGGAGTCTTATTTTGGTGCTGTCTTACCAACTATATTTGTTATACAGCGAAAACTGCAATTTTTTACTCCATCGTACACTTCAGCTCTTGTTTCTGCTTTTCAATGTGGCATGGATAAACGCTTTGGCGATATAATTGACTTTAAAGATATTTCAAGCAACAGCAAGATGAGAGCATTTGTTGTGGCTTCGATCAGCCATCCGTTTTTTAAAATCAGGTGGATAGAATCATCAGTTCGTGAGCAAGTTGAAGACTTGTTTCTAGCAGAAGTGGTCAGAATGAGCAATTCTTCAACAGTTTATGAAGACAGAAATACTAGAGGTTGTACTAGTGCAGATTTTTATGGATTCCACGAACCAAGTTCCGAATCACGATCGAATGAAAAAGTTGAAGGACTGCAATATCTTAGTGATCCTTCATATGATATGGAACAACTCAAAAGGTAATCAATATTTTTCTGTAATATATTATATATGTATAATATGTATATGCTTGATTTTCTAATACATTTTTATTCTCAAGTATTAATAACAAATTAATAATTTGCTATTTCGGTTAACAACTATATTATTGTTCCTTAGGTATCCTGCTGTCGCACAAGTGTTTTTGAAGTACAATACCACTGTGCCATCATCAGCACCTGTGGAACGTATATTTAGCCAGGCTGGAATGATTCTCACTCCTAAAAGAAATCGTTTAAGTGATGAATCATTTGAAACTTTACTTTTACTCAAAAAGAACAAACTCTTTTATTGATGTAAATAAATTACTGTAAATAATGAGTTGATTTCTGAGTTTAATAAATTTATAAATATTTCAAATTAACCATGGTATGTACTTAGGTACTTAGTACTTATAAGTATCAAGCATACAATTTGTTTTGGTACTTAGTACTTATACTTGAGTACTTTTATTACTGATTACTTAGTACTTATACTTAAGTACATTTTTTGAGTACTTACGTCATCACTGATATATATACACACATTTATCCATACGAATACGAGAACAGTTATATAAAATGGGTTTCAAGACATAGAAATTAAAAAGTTGATTGACTGTTGGTGAGAATGTTGGGCACGTGTATTTCGAAGGCAACAATTTGTGTACTAGCAATCACATTTTGTATTTTTTAACGTTTTAACTTCTAAAAAGAACTTTTCACACAATAACAATATACTTATCTTTTTAAAAATTTCACATACTTTCGAAACCGTTCAATTGTAAAAAATTATGTTTCCCCGAACAAATTCTTGAGCATTTACAAATCAATCTTACATGAATGGATGCGTAACTTGACAGCAATTAATGGCAAAAAGTATAGCAATCCAAACTCAAAATAGAATCGTTTTGAAAAATAATACATACACTAACCGGAATAAACATGAAAAAATAATAATTTTAATAATGTGACAATTTAGAGTATGAAAAACTAGAAATGATGAATGAGTTCGGCATCTGAATTGTTCCTGCCATTGTAGAAGCTGACATGCGGTTGTATCAGGGTCTTGATTCTCTTTAAAATTTCAATATTCAACAAATTGTATATTGTATGTCTATGCATAGAATATTACAAGGTAAATTTTTTCTAATAAACAAAAAATCACAATTCACGAACTATATCATAAATTTAAAAACCAAAAAATATAAAAAGTAACACGGTAGACATTGAATGAACTGGAGACCAGACGTGGCAGAAGATAGACAATAAGAATAATAATAACAAGACGAACATTACCAGGATTTAATAGACCAAAAATAAATTATGCATTTTTGCCAATTGTCTACATTCGGTTCATGAGAGAAATAAACTTTTCCAATAGAATATTAAATCAAGCCACAAAAAGCTGCGACGTTTAGAAAAGTCAATTTGTAAATAAACAACCACAAAATTTCAGGAGAGCACGTACGCATTGAAACTTTTTAATTTCATATAGATATTTCGATATCCGATTATCGGTCTGAAATTTCATGACCTAATTCTCTTTAAAATTTAGAAATCTATAATTATCTCCATTCTCCCAATCTCAGTGATTAAGTTTGAAAGATCAAATAAACAAATTAGATTACAATTTTATTGCATATATCCTAGAATAACAAATAACATCAATACTTCTAAATTGATGACAGAAACGAGCTTAATAATTTATGCACCAATTCCCTCGTTTAAATGCAAAATCCGTTACTTATAATCCAATAAGGTATTGAAATTTGATTGACCATGTTTTGTTTCAACTGCATAAAATTAAATTGTTCAAAATAAAAAATGCCTAAAAAGTCACGGCACCGTTATAAAAAAATATGCTGTTGAGCATACATCAGAGTAATTTTGGTCTTATTATTTAGATTTATAGAGTCAATGAAATTTGAAACCAGAAATGAAAAAAATTGAATCGCGAACCAAGGAGAAGCCTATTTACCAATATGCAACACTTTCTTATTGGTTGAAGCAGGGATATGCAAAGAACCTCAATAATTTTTTCAACTTTTAATTAATTTTCGGTAATGTCTATTTTATTTTTAAAATTTATACCAAATAAAAGTAATTAATTACCAAATTGAATAACAGTTTAAAAAAATTTTAAATTTTAACATTTTAAAAAGCAATATTCCGAAATTAGTAAATACGATCGTAACTATCGACACGAACGATAAAAAATCACCCTCCAAATCCACTCGGGAAGTAAGCTCCTTGTTCGACCGTAAAAAGTGAGCGAAGGCCGTTATATTTATTCTAGTTATGTGACCTTCCTTAATACTATTGTGATTCCGTTGTTGTTGTTGTTTACGTTGTTGATAGATGCACTTTTAATTAAAGATTAAATTAAAACTGTATATAAATAAACGATTTATAAGCAGACGAAATCTTTTTAAATTTTACAAGTGAGGGTTGTTCATCATAAACACCGGTGCTGTTTTAAATGCTTGTTCATAATTGAGAGAGAGCAGCATTTGGGGTTCAATTTGAAAATCAAAATTTCGCTATAAAATCATGATTGAAGAAATAGAGAGAATGAGAAAGAAAGAGATTAGTAGAGAAAAAGAAATAGAGTAGATAAAAAAAAGAATGGGTGGATGGGTGAATGAAAATACACGAAGAAGCTCACTTTCTTAAAATGACATTTTTTTCGTGGTTGGTGTTTATAGAGCAAATAATCAATCCGTCAGCAAAAATATAAAATTATAAATAATGGTCACCTCCATTAAAAAACCTTCTTCAGCAGACAATCGATAGATGGCATAAATTGGGATGGGAACGATGGAAAACATGGAAACAATCCAACCTAACGCTACAGACCAGGATGGGTACACGTAACTCCCGTAAGTTGGAGGTTTCATCTGAACGCAGTTGTAAATCAATAATGCCTGCATGGTTGGAAGGATGTTCAAATAAGTTATACTCAAATGTTCATAAATATGAATAGAAATTAAATGAGAATAATACAAACGAGCATTATGAGAGGAGTGATGTAGCACCAACATATCTTCCACCACAAGCTCGGTCTCCTATTCATCATCTCCGTAATGTGGTCGAACAACTTATTTGCTCCTAGATGTGATTATCAAACAACTTTTTATTCCTCACTGAAATGTTTGTGAAATGTTCAATTAACTGATGTAACTTATTGACTGACCGTAGATGTGTCCGAAAACTAAACATTCCAATATGGCGATGATCATGGCGGTGAAGGCAGCTGCGTACCAATCCAGGATCTGAAAGATGTATATGCCTGCCTGAGCGGAAGATGAAAGTTCTAATATTTTGACTCCATTTTATATTTTTTAATTATCATATAAAGCCCAAAATTTAAAAGTTAGCTCTGTAAAAATCTTTTATGCTGAAGACAATATTGACGACAAGCGATCAATTCTAATTAAAACACGTTACAGAACACACACACAAACTATATATATATATATATATGTTTGTTTGTGTGTGTGTGTGTGTGTGATGTGTGTGTGTGTGTGTTTTGGAAGGAGACCATATTTTCTAACAGTATTGTATGAATTCTACCAAATTTTTGGTATTAATCAATTTAAAGTTTGTCATTTCAATTTTCTTTACTAGAATTTTCTGGAAATTGTTCAATTTGTTGAAAATAAAATTATTCAAGTTCATCATGAAATTCGATGAAACTGTTGTTATCCGAATTCATCAGGTTTGGTTTATACAGCTTCTTTAAACAAAGCAAAGGCATTTAGCAAAGTTTATTAGTTGGTATCGTATTCTTCATTTTTGTTGTTGTCATTCCTTTGTCCTTCATCGTTATTGAAATTACTATTAAAGCGTCGAGTAAGTAAATGATGTTATCATTCTTTGTTGTTTGTTTATTTGGGGTTTATTGGTATCTATAAGGACAGCTTCTGCAGTTTTTAGATGTATTGTTTTGGTGGTTTGATCAATTATTTTTGTGTTGTTGTCAAGAATTTGGTGGGTTATTGGTGTCGCATGTGTTGATTGCAAGTGAGATTTGATGGCTCCTCATTGTGAATGCATTGTGAGACGTCTTGATAGTGAAGTAGTCGTACCACCAAAATAAGAATGTTGTTGACGCGCACAGTCATCAATAGGGCATTTAAATTCCTATATTACATGATTACGCTTCAAAGTATAATCGTCTTTAGGAGTGCAGTTGTTCTTTAAGACCAATTGTGATGTCTTACAGTTATTGTAGTATATCCTGAAATTTATTTTATTAGTATTACTAATTGGTGTAACATTTCTTGATATGATTTGTTTGAGGACGACTTCGTCTATTTTATGTGGGTCGACATATGATTTCTGTAATATTGGATTATATAGTTGTCATTGTTGTTTTTATACATATTCCTATCTTGCTATTTATCAACTGAAGATCACAATACGAAACCAAAAAGAATTACTAATCTACTAGTAAACAATGGTTACAAAACATCATCTATTGAGAGCACCATTCAACAAAGATTACAACTGCTACATCTAGTTATTACTACGGGCAAGCCAGAATTTGTACAAAATAAGTTTTCTATTAATAGTTTGGCTGCCTGTTTATCAGTTGTTGGTGCGTGAATGTCAAATAACAAATTGAAGCTAAAACAAAGTTTTTGGCAGTTGAACTTGTTAACAATTTAATAGGATAATGATAAATTTATTGTTTGTTGGTGTCAACATACAGAATTTTGAGAACTGCTAAGAATTAGATGTTGTTTTCTACTCGGGGTTGTTATAATGGAAAATCATGTGACCATCAACTTACAGATTATATTGCACTCTTAAATATTTGGATGAAGCCCCCACGAAGCCCTGATTCATGCATTATTTCATGCTTGAGTGGATAAATTTATCAGTTTATTCTACAGTCTGCCTAATAGACCAATATCGGTTCTTAAATATTTTCAGAGATTGTTGTTAGTGGAAAAAAATTTGATTTTGTCATTTAATCATTGAAGAATCTTTATTGACTGAATGTCAGAATGAGAATAATTTTTTAAATTTGTGTTGCAATGTATAAGGCCATGAATGGTCTTTTGGCAGAATACTTGGGAAGTAATCTCTCAAATGTGATAACAGTTACAAATGCCTCATTAAGTATTGGAGCAAAAAATATCGCTGTGTTGGGTTCAAGGGCTAAGAATGCATTGCCGGAGTCTTTGAGAAGTCTGGGATTGACCATTGATAACTTCAAGAAGAATTTTGAAACTTATTTATTTTCTTTTTAAATTACAATTATCTCGTTTTTGATTCTTTAATGTTATAGTTCTGAATTTATAAATTAACTGCTTGTACTTTTTAGAACTTTTTTAGTTAGCGCTTTATAAATTTATGATAATAATAATACGTATATATATATTTATTTATATAATATATAATTTATATAATTTAAATATATATATATATATATATATATAATTATTTGAAATGAAAACAACGTTTCTACTCAATAATAGGGGAACAAATTATTGCTAGTTATATAGTGAAAAAGTGCAAACGTTATTGAACAATAAAAGTTTTAATGTTTAATTTTTAAAAACTTAGTGAAAGCGGACTAACTCCTGAGCACAAAGGGATGCCCAGCAGAAAGAACATGACACATACTATCAGTGTCAATCTGGTTTTCCTGGGCTTCAAAAATTTCGGAAATTCATCCACAACACCATTGGTGCAAGATTCTATCATGCCAAACTGTTTTTTATTTGATGGTTGTTAGTTGTTAATGAGATATACTCAATTTTTTATTTAATGCAAGCTCTCCGTTTAAAAACATTTCAAATTTCTGTTAAATATAAAAAAGGAAAAAACCATTATAAAACTTGCCAGAGAGTCAAGCCCGAGAGTGAGGAGCATGATAAAGAAGCAGATGGACCAGAAAGGAGAGATGGGCAGTTGGGCTATTGCTTCTGGATACACGTTGAACACTAAACCAGGACCTGAATCATTCATGCAAGCATCCGTATTCATTTTTGTAGCTAGGTAGAAAGTTAAAACATTCAGACAAATGAATGAGAGAGAGAAAGAAAGAAAGAGAAGGAGAAAGAGAGAGAGGAAAAAGAATAAATGTAAATGTGAGACAAAAATGAATGGGCTTGTTATGTAAACGTTTATCGAACTAATGGAATGATCAAACCAATGAAGGTAGTAAAAACGAATTCATAAACAAATTCATTAATCGACGATCAAAAGTGAATGAAAGAATGAATGAAATGAGCAAATGAATGAATGAACAAGTGAATAAAATATGAATGAATGAATGAATGAATGAATGAATGAGTGAATGAATAAATGAAAGAATGAGTGAGTGAACGAATGAATGAACAGGTGGATGAATGAATAATCAAAAAGTTTATCAGCAAATACCAACACTCATATGAAAAACAAACGATCCCACCCACACAATTTCTTTTTCAAATGTTTAAAGCAAATACACATTTTTAAGTAAAACCCTTAACAATTTGAAAACATATTTTCTTGTGAAAGGACATAGATATCTGAAAATTATTGTCGTCAACAACAGCAGCAGAACAATGGAAAATAAGAATTAAACTTCAATAGACAAAGGCTGCTCAATGCAAAGCAGAGCAATGCACTTGAATGTACGATGCATTGTCATTGTAGTTGTGAAGATTGGTTGGTTGAAAGATCTCTATAGAAACATTATGGTAGATAGATAAATTGATGGATGGATGGACGGATGGATGGACGGATGGATGGATGGATGGACGGATGGATGGATGGATGGACGGATGGATGGATAGATATATAGTTAGATAGACAAACAGACAGATAGATAGATAGATAGATACAACAAAATAAATGATAGATAGATACTTCAAAATTGATATAGAAACAGAAAATAGATAGATAGAAATAACTATAGATACCGTAAAATTATGCACTGGCGTAAATATATTGACGTAACCCGTAGTTATGACGTCAGACACGTTTGTTCCGATGTTGTGAGCCATGAAGCCGATGATGGAGAAGCAGATGAAGCCGGAGTAGAAGCTCGTGCCACAACAAACCAGACAGATGACCACTGAATCTCTGTGAGGTTGAAGAAAACACAAACGGGGTCATAAAAATGATGATGGACATGATGGTTATGGTGACGATGATGATAAAAATAATAATGACCACGACGATAAAAACGACGGCTGGCTACATAAAAGAAGCTTCAATGCAATGCTGTTGGCTTGGATATCGTGAAGTGAACTAAAACCTACTATTTGGTGTTCCTTTCACGGCTTGCATGCGTTTGGTTGTGTAGGCGTGCGTGCCTTGAACATTTGAATGTTCGTCTTAACATTAAGGCATATTCCTTATGTACTTACATGTTCATTTTAGCACAAATGTATGGTTAACTACTATTTGTTTGTTTGTTTATTCGTTAGTTTGTTTGTTATAAAAGTTTAATGAGCATTGCTACTTACTACAACTAGGGCTACTCAACAAACAAAACAATCATGGCAAACACAAAATTTACTTATAGATCATAGCGATATATAAACATACACGTAATTTAATTAAATTATTGTATAAACAACTAATAAAAAACTTTAATGTATATGGAAATGATGGATTTTCTTTTTGTTTGTATTTCCTGGATATTCTCTCTATTTCTCGCTGGTACTTACGTTCTACTTGTTGACACTTTCGTTTACGTTCGTTATCTGGTTTATTTTTATTTCCGTTCTCTTGTTTTGGCCATCAGCTGCTTCATTCTCGTCTCTTGCTGGTCATATCTTTTATTCATTTTGGCCGCCATTTCTTTTGATTCGGCTGCTTGTCGATCGAGTTTGTTATTCAGTTCGTCAAATTTTCTATTCATTACGGCTGTCTGTAATTTCAATTCTTCTATAGGATCAGGCAAGTGAAAATCATCAGGATCGTTGCCTTAGTTCATCAGAGCGTCTCTTAGACCGTTTATCAAAACTGCCTGCACCCCTTTTGAGTCAAGATTTCGTTTTCGCAGTTCTTTCTTTAAATTAGTTGTATCGAGTTTATCCGGTTCCGGTAATTGTAGATTGTGGAGTTGAGTTGGTGGTTAAATGATCGAGTTGAACGACATTTAGCAGTTTTGATGAAATAATAAAAATAATAATAGTAATAAAATTAATAAAATAAAATCTGATAACAAAAATTTAAAATTCATTCTAGGAATGTGACCAACTTGAGGCAGTTGTTGTTGAATTTATTGTACTTCGACATGGCGATCAACCCACCCCACGTTGGACCAAGTGAAAAAAATATCTGTAGACACGCCTCCGCCCAAACCTTCATAAAAATATAAGTAAATGAAAATTTTGTTTCTGAATAAGCCATTGTGAGAACTTGAAAAATTAAAAATGACGCTTGTGAATGTAGGGTTTTGTTAATCACCATAAAATTTATAATATGATTATTAATTGTTATATTTATCATTTATTATCATCATTTTGTAGGGTGTCTTATCCCATTTTCAAAAAATGTATGTTAGGCTTTAAAACATTTTTAAAATGCCGTAAACTGAAATTTCTAATTTTGCTTTCCTAAAATTGTTTATTTATAACGTCTCAGCTCCCAAGCAAAACGTCCCTAATTAATAATTAGGGACCAACGACGAACGGGTTTTTTGCAATATAATTTGAATGTCGCAAGGTACGAACAATGAAATTTATCACATGTTCAAACAGCATCATCAGTAGCTAGCAAACACATTATCAACAATATCATTGATGTTGTTCAAAATTTAAAAAGCAGTCTCAATGGATGTCTGATGAACATATGCTCATCACTGCCTTTGAATAAAAAAGACCTACCCAATGAATGCAAAATCACTAATTGGGCTTGGTTATTCCCCAACATATTTTCAAGGAGAGAGACAGAAAAAGAGGAGGTTGTTTAGATTATTCAATCTACCTTAGGGTCCATCAGTTTCTTAAAATCTGGTTTAAGGTAAAAAATGATTCCATCGAGTGCTCCAGGCAGCATGCACCCTCTGATGAGGAGGATGGTCAGGAAGATGTAAGGAACTGTGGCCGTCACATATACAACCTGGTACAATAGAATTCATAACGGTAGTTTACGTAATAATGATAAGAATAAAATTGATATTAAAAAAGTAAAAAATACAACAATACAACAATAAACATAAATCATTTGCAACAAATCTTAATAAAAATCTAAATATGCAATACACTCAAAAAATTCAGATGTTAAGTCAAATAAATAAAAACATTGCACGATGTAGGACGGGTATTTTAAAGAAACAAGCATGCAGTGTCGTGCTAATTACTTAAAAAAAGTAGCTAACTACTAAAGTTAAGCAAAGTTAAATTCGTACAAAATCTTATCATTCGTATATAACAACCTCATCAACAATATCAACAATAACAGTAACATCAACAACACAATAACAATATCAACAATGAACGAATCGTTTCTGTATCATCCACAATATTATTTAAATACAACTGGAAGTTGATATATTCCAGCTCCCATCTAATTATGCCATGATTTTCACGTTCGAAAATTGTAAAAATTATGCATGAATATGCTGATGTATTTGTACGTTGTACCCTTTGTATATTGAAAGCAGAAGAAATGTTTGCACTACAAAAGAACATAAAGCACCTGATATTCAACAGTGACAGCTGTACGTAAATAACGAGCAGGTTTCGTGCTTCCAATAGAGTTTGTTAATATTGAAACTTAAAAATCAAATTTATGACTGTGCGATTTGGCAATTCAAAAGTATTCAGTATTCAAAATATACAAAAATGTTGTTACAATATAACAATGTTGCACGATCGTCAAGTTATTCAATTTTGATAGATAAACACAGACTTGTTTAAACGTTCATTTCAACAATAGTAATAGAATCATTGAATTATTCGCAACAATAGTAATAGAATCATTGAATTATTTGCAAATCAAAGAAACGCGCTAGATATCGCACGATCACCAATAATTTACAGCTCAACTCGGTCATCATACCACCAACTCAACTCCATAATCTACATATCAATCTTCATTTTACAACAGCGCTCTGCTTATATACAGCAAATTTACAATCGCGTGCTACGAAGGTATCTGATTCTAACAAATAATTAGTAATGAAAACATAAAATTAATTATATAGCGGGATTTGCAGAACAGCATTTTGACAATTGCACCGAATGTAAATTAGTCCTTAACAAAGACGTTATTCCAATGAAAAAGGGGCTAGCCTATCTAGACGGACAACCTTCATCTTCGCTCGCTTTGATCTTGGATCCTGTAGACCACGTTGTTTATCCTGTTAATGACCTTGTACGGACCATCACAATTTTTTTTTAAATTCGGGCATCACCCTTTTTTACCCCTTGGGTTGTATAATCTCACTAGGTCAGTGCTTTTGAAACCTACATCATTGCCTCCCTCTCTAGTCATGCCGGGTTTTCGTTGTTTCTGTTCTTCTAGCTAAAGGTAGGCGTCGTAGTCCTTTCTTAGTTTTAACGGACCGATCCACTACATTTAACACCCGGGTCAGAATAAGCCCATCTGAATTGACTCTTCCAAGGCTTTTGCTGATGATGATGTTAGGACTTTCGCAAAAACCATCTGTAAAATTAACTTGACCAAAGCAGCTATATTTAACTTTAACTTTGGCCAATCATAAATAACTAAATTTAACTGAGGCTAAATTTACTAACTGAAAGTCATTTACTGTAAATTAATATGAATAAAAATATCACGCTTTTTAAATGATGGTTTTAATAAAACAAAAAATTATGAAAAAACGCGATTGCAGAGGAGGAAGAGTGTCTTATGTTATATTACACTAACATTAATCCCGGGGCAGTGGTTTCGGAATGGTTTAGGTTTAGGCATATATTCATAGCCGTAATGGTCCTTTAGAGGTATAAACTTTAAAAAACTTATATACTCTTATATAATCTGTATAATACCTCGAATACCATATAATCATACCTCGAACCATTAGGTTATGATCAAATTATTAATTTTAATTGGCTTTTCAAATTGAAAATATTCAGAAGATAAAAAAATATTCAAAAGATATAACCATAATCAGAAGATATAAAAATAATCAAAAAAAAGTCAGCCAGCGGATGACACTTGAAAATTTTAAGAGCAGCAATGAAGCTATTAAATGCGACATTTGCATAATTTCAACAACGTTTGATAACAGAGGTCGTGAACAATAAAGTTGCATACAAATAATTGCTTGGTGAATACTATTTACTGATATTTAATTTTGAAGCGTTTGATTTAATAACAGAAATATTTTTAATTAATTAACGCAAGTATTACCCTACATTGAAAATTGAATTACAACTAAAATTTGGTAGTTGAATTACTCAGTCAGGTTAGCTCACAAGTGCTGTTACTGTTCAGTGGCTTTCAACGGATGATTGATTAGTTTTTGTGCTACTATAATTTTTGTTATGCTATGTCATGCCATGTAGTGATGGGAACTAAATTAATTTTTAGTTTGAACTGAAAAAAATATAGTTTAACTGATCAATTTTTATAACTTTTTCAAAGTAATTAAACTAAAATAAAAAAAATAGTTAAACTTATTTAAACTTTTACAACTTTTCCTTTTTCTTTCAAAAAACATGTCCTTATCATGGTATGACTGCTAAATGTTTATTGCATTTTACATCCACCAAATTACTTTTATTCATAAAAAATGAAACAAACATTAAGTGTTTCCAATGTCAGTCTAAAATGTATAATCTTTGTATCGAGAACGAAAACGTAAAAAAAAAGAAGAATGACCAAATTTGCGATGTTGTGCTGAACATTCAACAGCCGAGAATCTAAAAAAAAAAAATTTGTAGTTGGTTTTTTAAAATTTGTTTTCTATGAATTTAAATTGCATTGAAGTTGGTATTCTTGACTTTTGCCCATTTTCTCACTTCACTTGGCAATCACTTTCAGTATTATTTAAACTGAAATGACATAATTTCTTATATTTATTTTCTGGCAATGGAATGAATGGAACAACAACGTCGAGAACAACCAACGAAAGGATTGGCAGCGACAAACACCGCGTTTTTTACTCTAATATAAAGTTACCAAAAATATATAATATGCTATCAATTATTAACTGCAGGCCAGTGTTGTTGCAGGCCAATGTTGCAAAAAAAATTTACAAAATTTGTAGTTGAACCTCATAGTTATAACTAAAAAAATTAATTAAATTTTATTTTAACTAAACTTTTATTTATTAGTTAAACTTTGACCTTAAATAAGTTTTTTTAGTTAAACTAAAAATTGAAATGAACATCTGTAATGAGTAGAGCAAAATGAACTCAAACCTTTCCAGACCATTTGATTCCTTTGAAGAGGCAGAGGAAGACGACGACCCAAGCAGCGAACAGGCAGCAGACGAGAGGCCATCTGAATTCTCCAAAATGCTCAATACCGCCTGATATCTTTAGTACACTGTTGCTAAATAATAATATATTTTTTATGAAAATGTCTAACTGATCGGGTCCACATTTATTAATTGTTTTAGCAACAACATTAAGCATAACCAAGATTTAAAACAATAATGACGAAATAATTCAACGCAAAGAAGCGTTGATAGCTCTAGTTTTAAAATCAATTACCGAAATTTCCGTCAATGTCGCCATCACAATTAATTCAAATCCCCCCCCTATTTATACGTACTGCCAGAATTCTTCGGCGGGTGTGATACCAGGCTTGGCTTGTAGACCTGATACGTTGCTGAATGGTGCAGACGTGTTTCGGAATGTTGCAGTAACATTTGGATACCTACCACTCCTACTGTTAATTCATTCAATAACATCTTGATCATGATTTGTTTTTTTAAATCTTTTATTATAATTATCAATGAATTTGTCATTATTTAGTGTTGACGTTTTATTATATCTTTATGTAAATAGGTAAATTTTAAATGTTCTAAGCAAGGAATAATTTGATCTGCCGAATAATTCACTTCGTAACTCCAGAAGGCTTTCATCACACAAGATGAAGAAAACTTTAAGAAATATTGCACGCATAATCCGCTCATTAGTTAAAAACATTTCCAATCCACAGGAAAATTCAGGCTGGTCTAAGTGTGGTTGAATTTGATTCTAAAATGGTTTAAGTTGGTTCGATGTTATTACGCAGCTGATGGAACATAAAAGACAGCTCATTTTAATGGTTTAAAAATATAATGTTTATGGTTATTGTTAATTAGTTTATTAGTTTAAACATAGTATATAAGCAAGGTACATGTTAACATCACCCTAACTAACTTCCATTCGACGCACATATGTGTATTCCAAGTTTGGTTGCATGTTGCCCATGGCAGAGAGGAAGTGAATGAGAGACCAAGAAAGTAGAGGACCCAGCCAAGAATCATGTTACAGTAGACGGTGACCAGGCCCGACATCACTAGCATGGCCCAACCAACCCCTGCATTTGAAGTTCGTGAGATGAAACTGCAAACATTCACGTTCGTGAGATGAAACTACAAACATTTGAGATTAAACTGAAAAAAACATTCATGTTCTTGAGGTGAAACTGCAACATTTACTTTCGTGAGATAAAACAAAAAAAAATTTAAATGTTTGAGAGATGAAACTATAAACATTGAATAAACTTCAAACATTTAGTTACTTGAGTGTCTCAGTCAATGAGTAATATTATTAAACATTTTTACAGAAGTGCGTTGAAAATATTTATTAACAACTTTTGCACATATTTGTTTTTTTATTTTGTTTCCATTACGAATAAAATGTTCACGATAAAATTTCAATGAAACGTGTTTGTGCGCGGGACGCAGCTAAAACTTCGATGTTTTTATTAACGTTAACTCACGACAACAAATAACAATATTATTGAGAGCTAAATTAATTGTTGTGTAAATGCTTCGTACTGCGTTTCCAATGTTACCTTAGTTATTACAATCTAAAACTAATAATTGTGTGGATTATTGTTGTACGATCTAAAAAATGCAGAATATTTGCTCATCGAAAAAAGACGTCCATCAATAAATATTCAAGAACACGCTACAGGTGTCTTACCGGCTAACAAAGTCAGAAGCCAGAAGCCGAACAAAGTGAATTAGTGAACCAAGCCTTTTGACACAAATGTATCAAATACGAAACATACGACGTAATAATGTGAATTACCCAAATAAGTTCAGCAAATACTTTTACTTAGGTTAGTCGGATTCAAATTGAAATCAGCTTTCTGTTACGCAGAAAGGTTCGCAGAAATTTCAGTTTATCCTATTCTAGTTTTCACCTACATTTAGTTGAAAGCAACTTGGCTTTAAAATTTCGATTCATATAACAACTAAATAAACGTCATTATATATAGGTGAAATAAATATGAATTTAGAAATTATGGAATTTAGAAAATATTATTAATTTCAAATTATTAAAAATTGTACATTCGGAAAATTTGGATAAAAAATTTGTGAAAGAAAAACAATAGTTATTAAATGTTAACATGACCAGTCGACCAAAAAATTATCCCTTTTAACTGAAATTCGGAAATTTAAAAAAAATTAGCAAGTGATTGACTATAAAAAAATAAATATATATATAAACTAAATATTTTAATTCTTATAGGCAAATAATGCATGTCAACACGAAACAAACCTTTAAAAAGTGGACAGACGTTCCAGACGCCGATAGCTCCCAATCCTGAAAACTGACCGATGACCATTTCTAAGAAGAACAAGGGCATGCCACAAAAGATCAGACATAAAAAGTATGGAATGAGAAATGCACCTGAGGGATTATAATTTTGTAATAGAATTTTCGAAAAAAAGTGTCAAGTTATGAAGGTTTAATCTTTTTAATTATATAAGTTTTCTTGAATAATTTCAATTCTCTGAATTTTAAATAGCTTTGTTTCAGGCAGTTATTTCATGCGGTCAGTTAAAGAAGATAAATTAAAGTTAAATAAAGTTTCATTAACGAATCCGACTGAGGCACTGAAGTATGTATAACTGCTCAGGCACACCTGGTTTAACGCACTGGTACGTGGTACAAACAATCAACCCGCCACTCAGTGAAAAATCATAAACTGTTTATCAGTAAGTAACAGAACAAAAGATAAAATTGTTTGATAATGTTAATAATATTACAGGAGTTATATATTTAAAAAATTGATTTGAAAGGCAATAAAAAGTAAATAAATAAACATTGTAAATCGTTTCATTGGATTCAATTATTATCATCGTTACTATAGTATATACATATTATATTATATAAAACAACGTATATCATTTTGATATTATATGTAACAAAATATAATTATTTAATTAAATATACATATATATATATATATATATATATATATATATATACATTATATTATATATATACACCTTATTATATAATATATTACCAAATAGCAAAACTCACCTCCTCCATTTCGCATGCACAGGTATGGAAACCTCCAAAAAGCACCGAAGCCAACAGCGTAACCAATGCAGGACAGCATGAACTCCATGTGGCGGGCCCACGTCTCCTTCGGCGAATGGTGTTTGCTAGTTTTCGATTTTTCATCTGGTATCTCCATTTCAACGAGTGACTTTTCATCAGCAACAACCGCCTTTTTAAGATGTTCATGATCTTGATAATCTTCTCGATCTTTCATCTGAACTTTCTTGAATTCTGAATAACTTGAGCAATTGTTTTGATGGCTGTTATCAACTTCCCAGGGTTCCTTCAGATGTTCGTTTTCATTTTCAATGTTGTTTGTTTCGTATGCAGGACAACACTTGTTAACATTTTCTACATATTTGCCGTTAGATTGAGAATGATCAATAATATTTAAATTACCACCATCTGTGCGCCGTTTCTTATCAATTTCTGTATGACATAAAACAAAAATCTTAGAGTTTAAACTATATCCATCGTTAACTGAATTATCATTTGAAATTTTACGTATTTTATCATCATTGTCGGGATTCATTCTTATAGATCGATGACTCGTGCTACGTGCATAATATTCCTTCATTATAATAGATCTCAACTACTCTTCTAGGTTACTTTTTTGGGAAAACAAAAAAAAATGAAATCTGTCGATATATTCGATATATCGATATTCACGAATCTATATATATATATATATATATATATATATATATATATATATGTGCAGTAATTTAAAATATCTACTAAATTTCTAACGTAATATATATATATATATATATATATATATCCAATGTATGTATATATATATATATATGTTGGTAATAGACCGTTATACTGTTATTAAGAAATATCACCGCATTTTCGCATTATTGAGTTTGCAACTAAGTTTTTAAATTTTTAGATCAATTATTTTATCGATATATATATATATATATATATACATATATATAAATATATGTATATATATGTGCTTATAGGCATGCAGTACGCTTCTTTATATATTGAATATCCTGTGCAAAAATGTTACACACACACACACACACTCACACGACACACACACACGACACACACACACACATCATTACCAACTTCAGACGTTAATTTTTTTTTTTGAGTTTTGAATTTTGAGGAAATATATATAAATCCACCCTCTCTTGTATTATTCAAAACTGCTATTCACCATCTTATCTTATCTGATCATTTCAAACATGATTGACCGTATTTACTCTTTGTATTTATTTATTGTGTTTTACTTTTAAAATAATTAATTATCTCTTGTATTTCAGTTCAACTGTATGTTTTCATATGTATATGAGCATTTACTTAAGTATATGCGTGTTTTGTTTTTGGCTTTGTTTTGTTACTTTAGTCTATTTTCATTTTATTTAGAAGTATCTTGTCTTTAATTGGTCTGGGTGGCCCTATAAGCGCGAGCTTCGGGTCTCCTAGTGAATGACATGTTTTTCGCATGTGTTTGTTTGTTAAATAATTTGTTTGTTGAAATTGAATATATATATATATATATATATATATATATATATATTATATTCTATTTATTTATTTTATTTTTTCAATAAAGAGGGTTAAACTAAAAAGCAACCAAATGCTTGTAGGAAAGTCACCCTATACAAATGAAATCAAAAGTGATCAACATAAATTAAAGATTAAATTAGTTCAACAAAAATCAAAGATTAAATTAGTTCGAAATAAAAGATACATGGGGAGTATATTCTTTGGTTATTACGATTGTTTCCATTATTGATAATAATATTTAATGTAAAATAATCAAAACATAATTACCTATATATAACTATTAAACACAGATAGCCAATAAAGATAACAAAAATTCTAAAAGTACATATAATTTATAACATTATTTAAATCCAGTAAATTCAAATAATATCAGGTAGAATATTAAAGTCAAAAGAAATTATACTTAGATACATAATCTTTGAAGTTTAAATAAATTATATATAAATAAATATATAAATGTGTGTGTGTGTGTGTGCGCGCGCGCGTGCGAACTGTGCATTAATCAATTTTTAATCAATTTAAAGTTTGTCTTTTCAATTTTCCTTACTAGAATTTGCTGGAAATTTTTCAAATTGTTGAAAATAGTCCAAGTGATTATCCAAGTGCATCATGAAAATTTAATAAAACTGTTGTTATCCGAATTCATCATGCAGAGAAGGCCTTTGATTTTTCAAAATTTATCTTCTGTGCAGGCTTGGTTTATATAGTTTCTTTAAACAAAGCAAAGTTCTTTGGCAAAGTTTATTTGTTGGTATCGGAGAATAGAAAGAATCATCGGGGCATGTTGAGCCTCTATTGTGGGTGAACCCAGTGGTGGAAGCTTGATTGCCGAAAAGCAATTAGCATTTAAGAAAATTTTTGAAGCATGCCGAGCGTCTGCTATGGGTGAACCCCTTGGTGGAAACTCACTTGCCGAAATAAAAATAAGTAAAAGAATTCTCAGAAGCATGTCGAGAGGATGCCGTGGTTGATCCCTGTGGCGGGGGCTCAATTTTCCGAGAAGAAATAAGTAACATATGCAATAATTGCATTTTCTGGTGCATGCGCGGGATGTGACGACGGGTTAGATATAGCTGACAGGGTGCAGGTTTTTACTTTGGATACGTCGACCGGGATAAAGTTGATCTACAAATAAAAATGTTATTTACGACTTATTCTTAATGCTGTGAAATGGATGAAGGCTGGTGCGTCGGGGTGCCTGGATTGGGATTTTTCCGATCGGTGGTAGCGGTTTTGAGTTACATAAACAAAATTTATAACAAAATTCACCAATAAAATAAAAAAAACATTTACTGAAATAAATTATTAAATAAAGGTAAATGTCAACAAGGCTGATCATTGCACCATTGAGGGAGCTGAAATGCGGTTAAAGTTAACAAATACTTGGTATCGTATTCTTCATATTTGTTGTTGTCATTCCTTTGTTCTTCATTGTTATTGAAGTTAGTTATAATATTACTTTCATCTCTAAAATAATAGAAAAAGTAGTTATAGTCAATGATCATTTTATTTAAACTTTAACTCCTTGTTATCTGTATCTCAATCTGGTTTCTGACCAGCTCATAGTACTAAAACATCTTTACTCAAAATGCATAATGATTTCCTTCTTTCTAGTGATAATAGTAATTTTAATCTTCTTCTTGCTCTTGACTTATCTTCTGCTTTTGATCATACTATTCTCTTAAGGCTGCTAGATCATTCTTTTAATGTTACTGATTCTTGTCTATCTTGGTTTTCTTCTTATCTCTGTAATTGTTTTTCTTCTGTTGTTCTTAATAATTCTACTTCCAACCCCTCTACTCTTACTTTTGAGGTACCTCAGGGTTCTATCCTTGGCCCTCTTCTATTTATACTCTATACTTCTGAACTACGTCGTGTTATTTATATTTTTCCACAAGTCAACTATATGATGATAGCTCTTATGCTTATACTTCTTTTCCTCCATTTAATTTCAAAAGTGTTCTTCGTTATCTATCTCTATGTCTTTCTCCAATTATCGCTTGGTCTGACTCTAGGCGTCTTAAATATAATCCTTACCTGGTTCTAAAACTCTTGATGTTTTTCACAAGTTTCGTAGTCTAAGCTTTATCTTTGATTCTAGCATTAATCTTTCTTCTCAGATTAATAGTGTTGCTATTAATGCTAGAGTTGCTTGAAGTTTTTACTTTCATCTACGTAGAATAAAAAACTTTTGCCTTTTCTTGACGATCCTACTTTTTTCCTTTTTGTTACTTCTTTAGTTTCATTCAGGATTGATTATTGTAACTTCCTCTACCGTGGTCTTCCTGATTCTACACTCTATCCAATAAGTAAAGCTTTTAAATCTGCCGCTCATCTAGTTGCTCGTGCCACTTTCTTTTCTCATTTATCTCCATATCTTGTTCTTTTGCAATGGCTACCTATAAAAAATTTAGAATAGTTTTTAAAATTTGCACATTCATGTATAAGTCTCAATCTAAATTATTTCCAAAGTACTTATCAGATATATTAATTGTACCCAAACCCCCGGTTTACGATCGTCTTCTTGTTCTTCTTAACTCGTGTTAAACACTCTTTTACTTAATCTGCATTTGCTTTTTCCGGCCCTTTTCTGTGGAACTCTCAACTTCCTTCTCTGACCACTTCTTCTTCACTTACGAAGTTCAGAGCGGATCTCAAGACCCATCTGTTTGCAAAATTTATTGAGGAGCGCAGTTAAACATCGCGGAAATAGCGCTTTATAAACTAATTAATTAATTGATTGACTGACTGACTGACCGACCGACCGACTGATTGATTAATTTGGAGTTTTCGGTAAGTTTATATTATGCTGCAGAATGAACGCGTTCAATCGTTTGTAACGAGGTTGACTTTTCGTTCGTTAATCGGCGCGGCGAATAAGGTACGCTCGAAATAATTGTGAAAGGTAGCATTTTAAAGCTGGAGATGGAGGTCTTTGTGCTTTTTATATTGTTTTTTTAATTTTGTAAAATTAAACTTCTTTTTTTTATATATTTTATTTTATTATATTTCCAAAAAATTTTGTTTCTTTTTGCAAAATTAATTTTTTTTATATTTTATTCAAAAATTTTTGTGTAAGACATTAATAATAATGCTCAAACTCAATTCAACCAATGAATTATAAACTTGAATTGAAAACAGGAATTGAACATATTTATTATAATATGATATATATCATTTATCTAATGCTAATATAATATTATAATTCTAATATAAAATATATAACCAATTTTAATTTTTACAGTTATTTATAGTTTTATACTAATCTAATATCTATATTAGACTTATTAGAGTTATTTATACTAATCTAATATATATATACATAATTTTTTATCTAATTATATTATAATATGTATAATAATCTGATATTATAACAGATTATTTTATACTACATATTTTTATATATGTCAGTGATATATAATCAATTTTAATTTTTCTTGTGGTTATACTAATTTCATTTATATTTATATAATAATAATCTAATATGTATATTCTAATTTTTTTACTTCACTTGAAAAAACATTGGCCTGTGATCGTTTGCATCATTACATATTGTTTTTAGCAGTTGAGATTTTCTTGAGGTTCCCTGCACCAATGAATGCAAAACGTCAGTGCTACTCTCTTTTCCAGTCAAATTTATATAAATTAGAATAACTACAGTAGGAATCTGTAGGGCAATATTTGTATAAAATTACATCTTGTGTTCAGTAAAGCGTATTTTTGAAAAATCTGTCAAATAAACTTCAAATTCAGTAAGGTTGAGGATGATCCAAAATCAAAAAATTTTAAATGAAACATGATTGCATAATAACATAACGTTGTTAAATTTTTATATCAGGCTCTCAGTTATATTGTAACTGGGGCAGTTGCAGCAATGGCAGGGAAAAATTGTGTGGCCATAGCTTCAGACACTCGGTTTGGAACTGAAAAATTAATGATAGCTAGTAATGTACCAAAAATATTTCAACTAAGCACCAACATTTTTGTTGGTTTTGCAGGACTTTATTCTGATGGCCAAACACTGTATGGCTAAGTTCTTTTATTGTAGATTTTTAATATTTCTGTTGTTTAAGTTTTGCTTGTTAATAAAACCAATACTAAGGATGATTTGTATATAATACACAAAACTACAACAGGCTGGAAGATATTTATTCAAGATTAAAGTATTATGAAGTGTCAACTAAAAGAATGGCAAACTGCCATTTAGTGGTGAGCCAGTTATCTGCCATGCTTTTTGAAAAAAGGTTTTTGTTACTGATTTAATAATCTTAAGTTGGAATTGAAATATTGAAAACAATATTTGTTTACAGATTGGGCAATTATATTGTGGATACAATAGTTGTGTCCTTGGAAAATAATGTGCCAATCATTATGCACTTGGATTGTTTAGGTTACCCATCATTTCAATCTGATTTTGCGGCTGCCGGAACATGCAAAAGCCAATTGTTAGGGATGTGTGAACATTTCTGGGTAAAAAACATGGTAGGTGTGATCATAATATAACAATTAATTTATTAATTTTTAGCTTTCAATTTACTAATAAAAACGTCCAGACAGAAAAAATGTTATTTGAAACAACAGCTCAAACAATGTTAAATAGCATCAACTTGGACACATATTCAGGCTGTGGAGTTGTCGTTTACACAATGTTAGTATACAAAATTTTGAATAGTCCATTTTAATTTATCAGGCAGCCCAAGTGAAACAATTCAAAAATATATCTTGACAGTAGTAATGATGGAGTTGTAAAGAGAACTGTGAAAGCAAGAATTGATTAATATCCAACAACTTTTAAGTTTTAATGAGTTATGAGGCAAGACACTTGTTTAAATTTAATTTACATTTCAAAATTAACAAAGGTATAATATTATTCATTTATATTTTATTCATCAAGCAACAAACAAATAAACACCATTTAAACAAATTGAAATTGCCTAAAAGTCTTCAAAATAAAAAAACATTTCATGTTTGATTTATTTAAACATGTTAATATCAATTAAGGGCAGTTACATTTCTTGATGTGCTACGAAATATGGAGGTAGGATCAGTTAGATCTTGTTTGTTATATTAGTATGGAATTTGAGTTTGGCAAATTTAGATGTACATCAATCGGATGTTATATGAGTTGTAAATAATATCTTAAATAATAGTCATAATGAGAACATTAATGAATAAATGAGATTATCTAATAAAGAGAATTAAGTGTAAAACATGTCAAGGAACTTAACCAAACTAAGTAGTATGTACATTGTACAAGCATTCAAAATCTTAAAATTCACAGTGCAAACATTGAAACCCTGAATTTAAAAAAAAAACAATATACAGAGTTGTTGGTCTATAATTGACAGGAATGGCATTTAAAAATATATACCTGGCAAACATTCGTTAACAAAATTGTTGGTGACTGTAAATAAGTTTGGTTATGTAACAAAATATAACAACATATTTACATAAATAAAAAAAAAATAAATGACCACAGTATTTTTTCAGTTGAAGAAGAAAATTAATGGTGTGAAAACCTTCAGACCGTACCGGAAGTAGCAATAAACCTTTTTCTAAACATGAGCTGTCGGTGTAAAAATAAGGTTCTCAATAATTTCTGGCTGTTAACATGTATATTTATTTAATGTTATTGAACAAACCTGGGTCGGGACGTTTCTTTTTGCAACTTTTGTGTGAGTGTTTTTTACTTTTGCTGGAAAAAAATTTATGGTTAATAAATTAAAAAAGCTAATTATAAAAAGAAGACAATATAAAATTGTTCAATCAATCAATCAATTAGCTTATAAAGCGCTATTTCCGCGATATTCGACTACGCTCTTCAATGAATTTTGCAAACGGATGGGTCATGAGATCCGCTCTGAACTTTATAAGTGATGGAGAAGTAGTTAGAGAAGGAGGTAGAGAGTTCCAGAGAAAATGACCAGAAAAAGCAAATTCAGATTTAGTAAAAGAGTGTTTAACACGAGTTAAGAAGAAGTGAGAACAAGAAGACGATCGTAAACCGGCGTTTAGGTTCAATTAATATATCTGATAAGTACTTAGGAAATAAGTTAGATTGAGACTTATACATAAATATGCAAATTTTAAAAATTATTTTATATTTTATAGGTAGCCAGTGCAAGAGAACAAGATATAGAGATATATGAGAAAAAAAGTGGCACGAGCAGCAGAGTTATAAGCTTTACTTAAAGGAATCATGAAGACCATAGTAGAGCGAGTTACAATAATCACTTTTAGATATGACTAACAAAGTAACATGAAGGAGAAAAGTAGGATCGTCAAGAAAAGGCAAAAGTATTTTATTCTACGTTGATGAAAGTAGAACTTTTAGCAACACTATTAATCTGAGAAGAAAGAGACATACAAGAATCAAAAATAATGTTTGATTTTGTTAAAGTTTCTTTAATTTTAGCTGATTTCTAGTATTTTTTAAAATAGATGAAAATATTAGCAAAATTTGCGCTAACTGGTTGTGTCCATTGTTTGATGAAGTCTCACTTGACTTGCTGTGAGAACCGTTACCGTTTATATTCCTTCAATACAAAAGTTAATTATATTTTTAACATGCTTCGTTTTGTTTATAAATAAATATATATACATATGTTAGAGGCAAAACAACATATGAAATTGTATATTTTTTATGTAAGAAAACTTCATTTTTACGAACTTCATTTGTAGGCATTGTTTTTCATTGGAATTGTTTCTTCTTAACTTACAGTACCTCATAAAAATTAATCTTGTAAGGCCTTTATCACAACATAAGCAAAAAGCAACATCAATTGTTGCTATAGTGACAAGAATGAAAATAACCACCAGCAATATTATAATTGCATAGTATGCTGTTGGGATTTTGTCCTTCGAGTCGTATTCTAAAAAGGAAGCTAAAGTGGACAAATTTTATCATTCAATAACAATTTAGCTGAAAATATAAATAACTATTTAATTAACAATGCAGCCAGTGTTTTACAAAGCTATCATAGCGTTATGGTTATGTTATGTTTTAATAATTTAATTAAAAACTGCAAAAATAACTTACTTTCCGTAGTCTGAAACTCGATCAATTCTGTGTAGTCTGACCAGCTAATAGCATTTTTGGCTCTCATTTTGAGAACGTAGAGGGTATGTGGTGTTAGATCAGTTATTAAGAAGTCATTTACTGTGTTCTGTGTATCGGCTTTTACCTTAATTTGTATCCAGCTATTTTGATCATCTGCATCTAAATTGGCATCATGGTTGAAATTGAACTGATATTCATTATTCCATTCGTTTGACTTGGTATTTTGTGGTGCCTGGCATTTAAATTTTCAATCAATAATTATTTTCTGTAACCGATCTAATAAAATATATAAATTAAAGCCTCTTACTTTTTTGTAAAGAAACTCATATTCTGTTATAGGCAGTCCTCCTGTTGTGTTTACTGTCCAAAAAATTCTGTAATCACGAGATCTGGCATTAATTTGATCCTGGTTGTACAGCTGTATATGTGGTGGGTCTGTAAAAAGTTGTAATTTATATATACATACTTGTCAAAATATCTATTAGAAATGGCATTCTCGAATAAAAGATCATACTAATTATTCGCAGTTCAACTTACTTATTCCCGAGGTCTGGGCCCTAAAGTATGTGGGAGCGCCTATTCCAACATCATTCTTTGATTTTATTGTTAGCAGATGCATGGTGTTAGGCTGCAGATTCGAAACTCTCAGCTCATTTTCTGAGTTCAAAGATTTATGATAAAATATAGATTTGTTACATTTAAAAAACAGTTGTCAAAGTTTGAAGAAAACCAGATTGTCTATTAAAAACATCTAATGGATAGAATTACTTACCCAATCCATACTCGTAAGTTTTGTCCTGATTCTGAACTATGTAACCAATAATTGGCATGCCACCTGTTTCCTCCGATGGTTGAACAGCCAGCCAAATATCAGTTGACTGTGCACGTAACAGTCTCACCGAGGGAGAATCTGGTATAGCTGGAGATTTATTTCATTTATTTTTACAGGCAAGATAAATAATTTACTTTAGTTTTACATAATTTTAGTCGTGATGTTTGCAGCCATAAGCTTCATTTCTGCTACCAAACTTTTCTTCTTATCTAATTTATGTTAACATTTCTTAAATTTCTTTCAACCGCTGTAACCAGTTCAGTAGCGGACTTCAGTAGCGGATCTAGACAACTTTGACGGGGGGATTTTAAAAGTTTTTATGGGAGGGGCCAAAATTTTTTTTAGGGAGGAGCCAAGATTTGTGGTAGTGTGGCTGACGATCTTTTTTGCTTCTCACGTCCAATATTTGATCGATTTTTTACGTAAAATGGTCCTTTTTCGGACTTTTATTAAAAAACTACTTACAACGAAGGGGAGTCGGACCCCTCTTAGATCCACCACTGTTAGATTTCTTTTTTTCTGTTTTATATGTTACGGTTTATATTTCAATCATTTTCTCTTTATATCAAAATTTTAAAATTATCTTAACCTGATGTGAATGTGACATTTTACTTCAGTAATTAACAATCAACCTTTATATAATAGTTTCTAAATTCAGTGGCATCTTTGTTATATCAGTCAGGTTGTTGCATCTCTATTCTTTAACTATCGACTAACTCCAATTCCTACCTCAATCAAAAATTCCACACACATGGCGTTTAATACTACCTCTGCTTTTTAATATTTATCCATTCGTTTTATTACATGTAAATATTAGAGATACAGTAAATAATAAATTTGGCCTCCAATTTTTAACATTTTAATGATTTACTTTTCGATGCATTTCAAGCAGATATTTCGCGCACTTTTAATTAATAAGTATAGATATTTAAACTAAATATGAGATGAAAACTAACTTGCTCTTTTCAAGTGAATAACAAATGAATCATTTCCAAATATATTAGACACTGCACACTGATATGATTCATATATCCAGGCCTGATCATTCTCTCTCACGTGAATCTTCAAAAATAAAGTACATTGTTTACTATCATTACTATGTTGAAATATCAAAATCAAGTTCGTAATAGGAATAATTCGCAAATTTTAATAAGATTCATGTATTAATCTATTGTAGTATTAATCATTTTGTAGCATTAACTACTTTGTGTGGACAATTAGAGGTTCAATAAGTCTATACAGAATATTTGTCTAAAAGTTCAAAAAAAATTTAGACCACAAATTTCTTTTTATTCGTCTAATTTGCATTTTAACATTGGGTTATTTAAATTTCAATTCATTATTCAGTACAATTTTAAAAATTTATAATTCTAAATGCACTAATAAATACATTGCAATGAAACAAGCAGTTTCAAGAGGCAGTTTCAATCTAAATAGAACCGCACACGTCTATGTTCACGAGGTTAAATATGTTTAAATAAACGAACTTGTAAACTTGTGTAGTTATGACCAACAAAAACAGTAAATGAAGCGTTGTTCTTTATGACATCTCCACTTTTGTGCTGCTTCCAAATGGCAGTTGGTTCAGGTTGGGATTTGAAATGACACGTGATGTTCTTCGTCACGTCAGGCCACACGTAAGCCTCATTGGGCGTGGAGGATCGCACAATAAAGGGGGCATCTGAATTATTAACAATAACTTGATGACAGCCGCAAATACAAGTTTGAATATGGATCAATGTAATTTTAATGGAAATAATTTGATGAATATAAATTAAAGTGAGAGATCACATACGCTCCACGATAAGAGTTGCATTTTTAACATCTTTCCCGACTCTGTTTTGAGCTACGCACGAATATATTCCTGCATCTTCGGGCTGAATGTTGACGATTGACATCAAGAAAACATTTTTCTTTGGTATGGTGAACCTGCTTCTCAAACCGTCGAATCTACTGTTCAACGTGTACCTCCATTTCAAAGCACCATTAAAATAAATTGAAACATCGTTATCAGGATCACCATCGGTCAGACATTCCATCGTCGCATTTCCACCTGACCTCACGCTTATGCTGGAGAAGTGCGTTATCTCGGCCGGAACTGAAATGCAATAGGATCGTGAAAAAATTTTTAGCCGTGCATAATTCAATGATAGTTATGATCAAATTATAAAGGGAAAGCAGAATAATCATTAGATTAATCATTTAATCAACAAGCACATGAAACAATAATTCTTTCTACTTAATATTTTTAGAAATGCATCATCTGAATGATCTCTGCCTGCATCATTGTGCGCTTTGCATTTGTAACATGTTTCATCATGTTTGGACAGAGAATTGATCGTCATTTTGTTGTTTTCTATTTTTATGTTCGGTGAGTTATTGCTGTTTATAGCTGCATACAGTGTTGTGTTATCCGCATTCGTTATCTCCTGGTATAACATTGACAATTAGAATACTTAAATTCGTATGTAATTATAATTGTTATATGCAAACAATAAAATTAAATTAAAATAACATTGCAAACCTTATAAAAGCTGAAAATTGGTTCTGGGAACCCTTTTGCATTGCAAACGAAAGTGATTGACTGCCCAACCAATGCTTCTACTTTTGTGAACCAATTCAATATTTTAGGTGGAGCTATAATTATTATGTCATAAAATAATTAAGATTTGCAACTGTTCATTTATTTTCATCTTATTTTAATTTTATTGTTTTCAATTTTTACTATTTTAATCTAATCAGATTTAATTTAATCTTATTAAGCGACGGAATATGTATTAGCTGAAGCACGTGGGTGGGTTCAACTGCAAACTCGCGCGTAATGTGTGTGATGCGTTGGTTGGCGTGTATTTGCATGCACTGTTTGTTTGTCGTTGGTACCTCAGAGAAATATTAATATTGTTACAAATAGATAAATAAATAAGCAGGTAGATAGATAAACAAATTGTAATCTAACATCAAAATATTAATAAATTATTAATTTTGTTCTGTCCATTAACTGAAAAAATGTTCAGCTACCCAGCTAACCATAAATTTCCACGTTGATTGTCCTTAATTCAAATTTGCCTAGTTGGCTTACTTCAGCGGTACACGTGTATGTTCCTTTGTCACCTTCATCAACATTCTTCACCTTCAAACCTTCGGCTACTTTTTCGTACTTTGCACCTGGGCGTGATAAAATGTTATCAAATAAAATGAACTTGACAATAAACTGCTGTGGATTAAAATTGTTAGTAGTAAAAAGGCCACAAATTAATTTCAATGTTATAATCAAAAGATGGCAAAATTTCATTAAAACTTATAATGTAGAAGTAGGGTATAGGAAGAAATGAAGAAACTCAGATTGTGAGGCTAACCATATTGGAGTCTCCTGTCCATAAACTTCCACTCGACGGTGGGCATCGGGTCTCCACTGACGATGCAGGAAAGGGTGGACGTCGTGTTGATGACCAGATGTTGTTTCGCAGGGGCCACATCAAAAGTTATGTCCTCTGTCAAGGCGTGGTGTTTAGGTAGTTCAATTTTGACGGTTTAAAATTATTTTTAATGTGTTTTTTGGTTACTTTGAATTAATTTAAACAAATAATGATTTGGAAATTTTTTATTCACACTATTTATTGAAAATATAAAAATATAGGAGTAAAATTTTAACCAGAAGATAATGAAAGTAATCAATATAATAAATATTATATTATAAACTGATAACAAATATAAATATTAACAGCGTTAAATTTTGCATTAAAGTAATTTAAATGAACTCTTACTGAATACTCTTAGTTTAATTGACTTTTTCTCTATTCTCCCAGATATATTTCCAATGCAGTAATAAGTGCCTAATTTATAAAATAAATTTACTTTTATTATTATTTAAAAATTTTAAAAGATCTAGTGACATCTATATTGCTAAAAAGCAGTAGTTTTATATTTAAATGGTCGTCAAAAACGTTGCTTTGCCAAAAAGATTTGAAAATTTTTTGTTACTGCGTGAGTGCGTTGAACAGATTTTTTGGGCAATGCCCATCTTGCTGGCATGAAGTCGGAAATTGTTACTTTGAGAGGTCAGTGGCCAATTAAATATTGTAATCATTATAGAATGAGGTTCCATCTAAATTTGGTTAGCAGCGACTTTTTTGCTAACTTTTAAAAAATTATCTCAACTTTTGACCCTTAACCCTTAATGATTATATAATAAATATAATATTATTATATATTTAAATTATATATTAATATGTTTTGTTTGAAAAATTAATATATTATTCAAAATTCCAACTAGAAAAAATCCCTAAACCTGCATCTGGAACAATTATGTTGAGGATATGCAGTTTTATAGTTTTGGGGTCTACAGTTTCAACTGCTAGTCTGCTAAATTTTTAACATTTCGATTTTGTTATTATCTATTTATTAATTAATTCAATGCATTGTATTGAAGATTAAGAAAAATTCTTTTGAGTATTTGATCGTGTTCATTTCATCAGTTACCAACCTTGAACCGTCAGTCTCGTTGACGGCATTAGCATTCTTATCAACCCACTTCAAGTTGGATGCAGTGTGCGATGAACATGTGAGCAGGATTGACGATCCAACTGGTTTCGAGATTTCCGATTCTTGTGGTTGAATAATCAGATCTGAATGACATCCTGCAAAACAATTTATCATGTTTGTACGTCTTTATACAGTAGGTACTGCTAATATTAAAAATAGCAAACGTGTTCTTGGGATTAATTCTTTTGACACATCAAAATTAAGCAACAAGTATTCGTTCTCAGTCATGTAACGCAAATTTTATTAGTTTACACAGTTTACACCACAAACACTCGCAAACAAATCTGATGAAAATAGTCTCTGATCGACACACTTTCAGTAACTACTTAACAATTTTTTTACAGAACAATCAACGTGAATGTACGCGAACATTTACAAATTGTGTGATGGGAATTAAAAAATTTCGCCGGTAATCGTAATGAAAAGAAAAAATGAATAAAGGCCGTTCTTGCTCTTGACGATATTAAATCTGTTATAATAAGTAAGATGAAATGAAGTGAAATACCATGCGACAGTTTTTAATAAATCATTGCCTGTCTAATCGAATTTAATCTAATTTTCTAAGAATTTTATACCAAATCATTTGATTTGTCTGTAGTTCGATATTTATCGTATTTCGTACGAAATAAATTTTTAAAATTAATCATTTTTCCAACAAATAACAAATTTTTTGGGAAACACTTAAAGCAAACTATAAAAAATAACCTATCAAAAGATATGCTGTCACGAGAGAAGTTGTTGAGATGAAGAAATTCATTTTTTCTTATTTCATTCTGTTGTGATTGTGACTCAGACACGTCGAGTTCAGACAGCTATGTATGAATGTTGGAGTAATGAAACAACTTCACGAATTTGTGTTGCAATTTACTCCCCGCTAACAAATGAATTATAAATTAAAAAGACACGCGTGTATTAACAGTTAACGAGCACAATAGATTTTTTGATTTTAAACCGTAATTATGCGAATGATGTATTACTATTAGTTAGGCAATGAACGGCCGTTATAATATTTATTAACTGAACAGTTGGTAGTTTTATCAATGAACAAACGTGCTCTCTAATGCAATTACATATGCATATAATATAAACGCATATGCAAATACATCACACAATATAAAAGCGAACGTATATACTATACATAGTATATAGTGTGCGTATGTATATGTAATATATATGTATATAAATATAGAAACGATGATGTCAGAACTATTTCGTCTTGTCTCAGCAACCAGAACAGAACGTGGGCGTGTCTATTATTCCTCTGTTTCTTCTAACATCTACGGAGTCACACAATAAAACTCATCTTTAAATATTTTCTTTTCTTGTTTTATAAGCTATAGCTATATTTTATAAAATAATAAAATTTGTACTTTATACTATTTTATATTCTAGTTAACGTTAACCTTTTGTTTTTATTTATAAATTTAACATTCATAAAATCAGAATGCAATTGAACGAATTATTTTTGATAAAAAAATATTCTAACACAAACGCTTTATTTAAAATCGTCAATTCATTTCTATGAGTTCATAAATTTAAAAAAATCATGTGTATGTGACGCAAAATATTTCCTAAATTAAAATTGTCGCTTGCGTGTTCACGTGCAATTCAGGCATGCCTGTCTGTTTTTTGTGTCGTTGAAGACGTGTGCTGATGTGTGCGTGTGTGGATGGTACATCCAGGATTCTTTTTGCAGAGCGGCGGGGGGGCTCCGCGAACAAAGCTTCCGCACAGATGCCTTGTACACACGCACACAAATGTTGATTGTTGTTGCGTGAAAAAGCAACAGGAAGATAATTATAAAAATTTAATGTACTTCAAATAAACAACGCTAACACGCACGCTTGCACGACTCAAAAACACCTGCAACAATATTGGCGACAACTGTGATAGAAGCCAAATCAAATAGCAATTATAACAGGATCATCGTAATATTAACAATGATAATAATAATAATAAATGATGATAATAATAATAGTCAATGAAAGCTAATAATATCTACATCAAATATTATTGTTGACACTGTTGCTATATCAGTCAGTAAGGTACGTAGGAGTAGGAGCGGAGTGCCTTGTTGAAAACAATTGTTTTGTAATAGGCAGACGACTACCTGTTTTTAATGCAATTCTATTCAAATAAATACTAGGTCATATGTACCTCGAACGTGTGATGTTGTTATTGCGTGTGTATGTGTGCACTGTGGATAAACATAGCCAACATGAAAATGTAAAATAATGCGTCGTGAGAAGCACATTAGATGGGGTAGGAAGATATCATCAGTGCCATCAGCAAGTAACGAACCACAGGTACGCTACACCAGTCTGCTGCTGCGATTGCGTGATTGAAAATTTGCAGAAAATCTAAAAAGTTAAGTGCAGTTTACAGCGTAAAAAGGACAAGTTTTGATTGAATGTGTATTTAAGAAAATAATAAAAAACTAAATCGAGCTAATGTTATTATAAGATTTAATGAGCAAGATCTAGAGCCACCATGTAGGTATAAAGTCCATGGTATAAAGGGTTAATACAACTTGAATTCAAATAAACTTTTTTCAAGCCTAAACTAAAACTACAACAAACTAAATTTCAAGAGTGTGATTGAGAGTTTTTGCTTATCCAATTTGTCTTTTGTTTAATGAAAATAATATATCAATATCAATCGTTATTACATTATTACGTAAAATTTTGTTCCATCAAAATCAGCATTATAAAATTATTAATCATTATTCACGGTCAATATATTTTTAACGTCAATAAAATTTAAAGTTGAATTCTGCTGACTGAGTTTAGCAGGTAGCCTATAGTAGGTATTTCAGCTCTCGTCAATTGCGCCGTTCATAATATAAACAATTTTGTTTTCTGCAAAAAAGTCAACATCACTGACGCTAATCGATTCTGTGGCCATTTTTTGGCACGGATAGTTTTTTCATCATTTAACATTTTAAGCCAAACACTTAAAAAAAGCTTAAAAGTTCATTACACTCTTCCCAGGTTCAGAGGAATCAGCAGCAAACAAACATCGTATATGAATACATGCTAAACGACGCATCAAACATGAAGCATGCGATAGGTGGGAGTATTTGGTCATGTTCGAACCCGGTTACGACATAACACTGCGAAACCGTGAGATTTAACCACTAGGATATCACATGAAAACAATTTGTAAGCATAGCCTAAAAACAGTCTACATTTTTTAATATTCTCCAATATGTTGGCTACTTATCTAGTTGAGAAAACCTGTTCTATTTGTAACGATTTCCACGAGCCATGATTCTTATGTTTGATTGATAAAAGCCGTTGAGCAATTTAAACAAACCAATTCTCTATTCCTCTTTGTTTGCCAGTCCTATATCGGGTTTTTTTTCCTTCCATCTTAACCTTTGCCTTCATATCAACTCTTGCTTAAAATAACTATTTTGCATTTGTAAGTAATAATTAACTAATTTGAAATATTTTTCAGCAAATTTATCTTTAAAACCCCAATATTCTGATTTGATTCAATACATAGGGTTGTGCTCATTGCGTTATAGACATTTCATTAGCTGCTTTGGCTTTTAACTCTACATTTTTAAATGAATCTTTTCTTAAAAATAATTATATATGTATTAAATTTTATAGCCTCATTCATTATGATTAAACCATGTTGTAGTTGAGTTGATGACGGCTAAGTTTTTATCTAAATTAACGGTTTAGCCATCTTATTTCTAATTCATTTTTTGTGACCTAGGCTTTAACCCACTTTATCCTCATTTTATTTTAAACAATAAAAATTTTCAGTTTTATTATGTAAATGTGTTTAACAATAATTTGTATAAGGTGTATAAATATTTCATTTAATAAATTCATTTGTATATAATATATATGCCATATAACTATAATATATACAATATAACTATTAATGATGTTAGTTGGTGATGTTGTCTTATGGGGGTCTTATGTTTCTCGTTTAAAAGAATTTGGCATTTTCACAGCTGTGGCATTTTCCGCGCCATAGCAACAAGCGCCTTTAAAATCGAATGCACGTATTATTAATTTATCTCGTTAAATTTAATTAATTCGTAAGTTCGTGTGTTTGCTAGTCTTTCGTAAATGAAGCTGTAGTTTTTAAATATTTTTAAGAACAAAAACTGCTGAAAGAAAATGCCCTCAAAATTAAAGTTTCGACTGATAGAAGCATCAAGCGAAGAGAGAGGTTTTGAAGCCAAATCACTGAATTTCCAATCACCGTTCAGCAATGGATGGAAATCTTCAAAGTATTTTTTTAAATTTTTAGATGAAACAATTTACACTTTTATGATTTAACATTTGTATTATTCAAAAATTCAAAATTGAGACAAGAAGCTAGAGAGTGATCATTGCCCTCTTTACTGTGGTTAAAAGTTGTTATGATGACTATGCTGCCTTGTCTTTTGTCTCTAATTACAATTATAAAAAAAACAAAACTCAAAATTGTTTAATTCACAATCACCATTTTGTATTTTTAATTGTTAGTGTTGTCAGTTGCTCAGCGTAATCACCAAAATCATTGTGTATGTATGTAGGCTATAAGAACTCATCAAGTCTTCATCAAAGTTCCTAATCAAATAAATTAATATATTTAAATATGTATTTAGTTGCACAAGAGAAAACTGCATGAAAAACATTATTTCAAATTATTCCTACAATGTGCAGCTTATAGCCAACCTGGCGGTTCCTAGATTTAAACTTTTCTAGACATTTCCATATATTGTAGACATCATAGTCCAGTCATAAATTTTCTGAGTAAGCCTAGAGCTTGGGGCTCTGTCATTACTTTAGTTTTGTTCATGTTTTCCCATAATGATTTGGTTAAATCATTCTTGTTACTAAATATTAAAAAATATTCAATCGACTAATGTTTATTCGTGCACATTCAAAATTACAAGTAAACAAGTTACTTTTTCAGAAATGAATAAAGCAGATAAAATAATGACATATAAACTGTTGCTTACATATCTCAAAAGCTTACTTTTTGCAACATTGTTTGCTTTGAATACACACAAAAAAAAGATCTCTATTTTGACTACCTGTAATATCTTGTAAAATTCTAAGGAAATTGATTTTAGTAAATAACTCTGTTCATAGTAATTACTAATGCTTAAAGAGACGATGCAAGAATGATACAACTGAGCCACAAATCCTTTTGTTGCATGTCAAACCTAGTTTATTGTCATATTCCATTAAACATTTCATACTTTCACTTGCTGCTGTTTCTAAACAATGAACATTGCAATACAATTGTAACAAATCCTACGTAATTTGATTATTTTTAGGAGCTGCTCCTACCCCCAACAACTCGTCCTGCAGTTGGAAAATCGATCAAATGTAAGGAAGATACAGATCATGGTTCATCACCAGCTCATTCGTTAGTTCATGTTCACATATCTTCTTGTAAATGCAGCTGTATGTATTTGGTTGCATTTCTTCTTAATGGTAAATACTCAGAAAATTGGTTTCCATCTTTAATAAAAATTTAACTTTTATTTTAACAAACAGAATTCATTTTGGATTCATTCTTAAAAAAAACCCTGCTTGATAAAAATTATAAAACTAAAGAAATGATTTCATGTTAACCAGCTGAGATCATAGAGATATGTGCAGTGGATGCAAGAGGAGCTGGCAATCCCGTCGTCCAATGTTTAGGGTTTGTTTCCATCAACCGAATTCATAAGCTACTTCATTTTGCAACAATCTTTCTTCTATTGATATAACGATACAATTGATTTTTTTCATTTTAATCATTAATTTTTTTTAGATTTAAATAGAATTTCTCTAACAAAATGAGTAACAAGCTTATTGGATTTCACCAGACATGTTAGGTGTATGGATAGCCAGCAAAACTCATACAAATCAAGAGAGATGAAATCCATCTATGTTGATGTAACTATTTCTTGTATTATCCTAAACTTGCATAGAAACTTCACCAATCCTTCAAATCCTCACAATCAGGTCGGTCTTCCAAGCTCATTATGAGATAGATGAGTTTTTGTGGTTGTTAACATCCTTATTAATAAACATTTTAATTTTTTTTAATTTGTGCCAACAAGTCAGTGAAATGAGTTGGCATGATAGCATGCACCAAGTGATTGTTGTTTGTTTCAGTTGCTATGCCTCATCTCCATTCTGAAAAATTTCTTTTCTACTTTCATTTGTTAACCGTTCATATGTTAACTTTTGCAATGCAAATACATCATCACATCAGGTGTCCATCGTGGCCATCAATCTGCTTGGTCATTGTCCTCCAAGCCAAAAGTTTGCTAGCTTTTTGACATCTTTCAACTCAAATTATTTTTCCTGACAACGTTGTCATCAGAATCAATCATGAGTGCATTTTTGCAGGGTTAAAGTCTGCCATCATTTAATTCCTCAGATGATTTCCTTATCATCATCATCATCATTCTTTTATCTTAATTTTCATGTTCTGTAAATCAGTTTGATCATGATCATTTTGTGTGATGTTCTACACCTTCTCTACATTTCACTGTTATCATTTTACCAGCTTGTGCATATTATTATGAAATAAAATGTACCATTTTCATTAAGTAAAACTGAGCTTATCTGGTTTAATATGTACATGAAATTTTGTTTCAAGTGGAGATCAGTCGTACTCGCCCCTGGACAGCTTGGAGTACCTAATGACCAACGACCATCAGATCATCCAAATTATTTGCTCTCTCAGGAAGAAGATTCAGTATTTAAAAGGTCATTCATTTGTTTTTTGCTAATTTTTGTAGGTTTATTTCATGTCAAAAATTCAAATTAGTCGCTAATAATTTAAGCTTTTTTTTTTTTAAATTTTTCATAGCTGAATGTTCTGAATGAAGGAAACCTACCATTAAAATAGATAAATTATGTTTTTTTATGGTTCCTCATTCACAGTTAATATTCCACATCTCTGTATTTAGGATTTTTGACCTATAAAATAAGTTAAATGTTTCGGTTTTGGTCATTGATAGTAATTTAACGTCTTCAATAATATTTGTTGAACAGTTAAGAATGACGTCATGGACAGCACTGAAATCGATTCAACTTGCTCCTCAATAATCAAGTTGGAAGAAGTAAGGCATTTATGATCTGGCCTATTTAAATTATTTTACTTTATTGTGTTGTATTGTTAAGAAGGTAAGTTTCATTTAGTCTAGAGAATTATTCAAACTTTATTTATGTAATGTTTCATTATTTTCCCTACTATCATTTGGAGAATAGTTGATGTAATTTGTTCTTTCACTTCTCTAAAAAACTGCCCTGTGTTTGGACAGTTGCTATTCGGCTGAGTCATTCCTAACATTCAATATAATTGCACACTGGAAACTTTCCACTGATTGGATTGGACGATTTTAATTTGTCTGGCTTGAGAGTTATTTCAGACCCAATAATTTTTATTTTGATGAAGCATTTCATTCTTCAACTAATAAATCAACGAACACAGGTAAGCAAGCAGTTGGTTTCTATGGAGTTGAGGAAGATGAAGATGCTTGATGCTGCCGATAATGTGGGAGCCCAGCTGGTGAAACGAAAGATGGACCAGCTGAGATTGAAAACATACGAGGATCTGCATCTCAGGCGTGTCATTGAAAGGGAGATTGCACAAGAAGAGGACGACGATGATGTTAGCATTTATTGAAATATATTGTACCTGTTATTTGATCACAATCACTCTTAATATTGCTTCATTTGTATCACTTTAGTTTTATTTACATTTTATTTATTTATCACATTTATATTTAGTTATTTATTTTATTTTACAGTTTTGCAATTCAGTCTCCATTCAAATAGGTAATTTGGTCTGCTTTGTAATAAATTGTTAAATTTGTTTATGCTGAATATTCCTTATTCTTAACATTTAAACGTGTAAATAAATTACTGGATGTGGTAAGAAAGATTCGTCAAATGTAAAATTGCATGGCATTTCATCAAACTGCTTCACGAATTTTGCAACTGGTTCGTCTAAAATTTAAAACTGCCTGTCTAATTTGAAGATGTAATTTGTCGTGCTTATTTATGATCTTTCATTAGGTTAAAAACAATAAATTTTTTCTTCTTTCATTCGTTAACAATAATAGTATTTTTAAATTTCAGTTCCTTATGAGGAATCCAATTTCAGACTGAAAAATGTGAAAACTGGCTCAGAGCTGAGAACAACAGTTGGCGATGGTAACGACGTAATGAAGCATGACAGTGATGTTGAGATAGAGGACAGCAACTTAACAAGCAATCAAATTCCAGATAAAAAAGGTGAGGACAAAAAATCTGAGAAGGCTAAACTTCATAAAACATACAACATTTCTAAACAACGTGGTCTTATTGATGATGTCCATAAGACAAAAAATATTTTCAAAAACAATGAAAATAATGAAGACGCTAATTTCAACATGATGAGTTTGGCGAACCTGCTGCCCAACAACGTTTATGCGAGTGCCAAAAAATATCCTGATGATTATGGAGGTGTCAGTTTAAATATGAACCCTGAGATGCACTCCAGCAATGACAACCTGGTAGTTAGTGGTGGAGGTGGACGGTTACCATCTAAATCTCCCAAAGAACTCAAAACTCAGCCAGATGATCACAGCAAGTCCATCATTAGAACGTCCAAGAAAAATAAAAATTCACCTCAAAGCAAGAAATCAACGCGGCGGTCCTCTTTTACTATAAATAAGAATGAAAATGATGATGGCGATAAGATGAAGATGAGTGAGGAAGAGGGCAGCAAAACGAGGAACATAACTGACAATTCAGATTTAAAGAATCAAAAGCTCTCTGTTCGCATGGAGGGCAAGGGCTACATTGCAGCTCCTGTTGAAACGAGTGCGTATGCTTCTTACGAAGACCGTCCACTGCCTACTCATCGAAACAAAATGTTGGTTTTTTTTATCTAATTTAAATAATTATGTTTTACTTGCCTGGTAGAATATTATATGTTGATGTGCATAGGTCGATGATAGACTATATATTGGTAAGGGCCA